CTGCCGCGCCGCCCCCCCCCACTCCCCAGGAACCCAGCGTGATGTCACATGGTATGGAATACCGGGCTCTGTTTGGCCAGGTGGGGTCAGCCCCCACCCCCCCGGCTGTGCCCCTTCCTGGAGTCCGGTGAAAATTAACCCTGTCCTGGCCAAACCCAGGACACCACCTTCTGTCCTGCTGGGGACTCTCGGCAAGCAGAGCTGATTCATGAAATGCCAGCGGAGGAAGGCACTGCCATCCATCAGGAGAAGCTCCTTCACCAGGAGGCCGGCGCAGCACTGGAGCAGGTGGTGGGATCTCCATCCTTGGTGGTTCTCAGGGCTCAGCAACGCGAAGCCCCAGCGCTGTGACCTAGCGCCGGGACAGCCCTGCTTACAGCACAGGGCTGGGCTGCAGCCCTGCAGCACCTCTTCCCACTGACACCCCTGCTGTCTCCTGGGGAGGACAGGGCAGTATGGAGCCTCCTTTTTTTCCTAGCTTCCCTTGCTCAGGATACTTGCCGGCATAAAGGATTCCTTCTGACACAGAAGATGGCTGGGACAAAGGGCCAACCTCTTCTGGTCACTCCACAGGAAGCCCGGAGCCCAGAGACAATCCTGCTACCCAGGGGACCAGAAAGCTCCTCTGCTGGGCCTCAGCCTCACCCCAGCACAACAGCTCCTCCTCCTCATATTCCCTTCACCAAAACCCCTGGCACTTCTCCAGACCCTCCAACAGCTCCTGCCCTGCGTTCAGCAGCTCAGGCTCAGCAGCAGCACCGTGGACCCCACCTGCCGATGTGCAGAGCTACTCACTGCGCCTCGCCGTGTCTCGTAAAATCATGCCCGTAGACAACGTCAAAACAGACGCTTACTACCAGGCGTGCTGGTGCTCATCTCACCTCCACAGATTTGAAGGCTGAGAAAGAAGCATCGTGTTTTCTGACCCCAATGCGAAACACACGGTGCAAATTTCTGCAGCTTGAGTCAGGTACTTGTGTGGGACTGTCTCTCTAGCTGCTGACAGCACGATAAAAAGAGATTGAGCCTCTACCATTACCCTTCACAGGCAAATCAAGGTGGATTCCCTAGATGGCTAACCACCTATTAAAATCACGTGCCATGCCTGTCATATGAATTTGCCTAGCTTTCACACCCATTGCCAGTCTGAGATGCTCCCACTCTCCCCGATCACAGGACTTTTTACTAGCTAAGCGCATCCTTCTTGCAAAGGTGCTTCATAGATGAAACTTGTTCAAATTAGCTCCCTCGAGGCTGTTTTCTGAAGGCGTAGGTCACATCAGTGTGCATATCACCCACCTCCCTGCTCTCCTTCCCTCTGGGTACCCCAACGCTACCTTCTCCCTTGCACGACACTGTTGGAACGCTTCAGTGTAAGCTCTCCAAGTCTTCCAACTTTCAGGATGCTTCACTGAAACTGACCCCTAAAATTGCTCCTGTCCACAAGGAGAGGCAGGTGCCACAGATGAACGCACAACTTTTGGGCACTATGCTGCCTAGCCAAGCTGGCAGCCCAGAGTTAGCTGCCTAGATTTGGGTGCGACTGGGGAGAAATTGGCACAGAGGAGCAGCTGCCGACAGGAGCTGGGTGATCACCGCACTAACCAACACACGGAAATGTCCCTCTCTATCAGCAAAGGAGGGAATGGATTTTCTTTTAAAAAAATCCCAAAGGCCAGTATAGGAGGGAGCTTCCTCAAGAGCCGGGGACCCAACTGGCCTTACTCTTCTCAGCAACTCCCTATCAACCACATCGGGCAGGTAGGACTCGCAGGCGTCCTCTGCGGGGGCTCTCCACATCCTCCCTAGCAGGGGTGGGCAGCAAAACCTGCTGCTGGAGGCTTAGGCATTTGTGGATGCAGCCTCTACAAAAGTGTGTAAATCTATGGGGTCATGTGCAACAGGGCGCGCTTGGGGGGTCTAAATTTTACACCCAAGTCCCCGAAACGTGCAGTGCAGGGCTTCAGTCTTTCCCCTGGACACAGCCTGACACAAGGCAACACAACTGCAGGCTGCCTGCCCGCACAGAGCGACATTACAGCGTGCGACGTTGCTGGAATTAGCGACCGACCCGCACTGCTGCCGGAGTCTCTTCTCTTTCCATTATGTCCCGTTGTCCCCAGAAGCCTTTGGTGTCCTTTCTCCGCCCGGCCCAGGGTGCCACAGCGCAGCGCCCGACCTCTCCCTCCCTGTCTGCAGAGGGGAGCGGGCAGCCCTCCGGAGCCTGGCAGGCAGGAGCTGCCAGCTGGCCGACTTCATCGCACCCTGATAAGGCTTCTCCGATAGACCCGCTCCTCTTTGTTTGGGGAGAAGGGTTTGAAGAAACCCCACTGAATTCAAGATCTGACAATGTGCATGGTATTTCTCCCACTGCTCTGGCAGTCACTAACACAGAACCTCACCTCTCCCGTGCTCCAGGTTTTTTTGCACCCTTCTGGCCTTGTTTAGCCTAAATAACTTCACAGCATGTGGCAACTCTTCTTACAGAACTGCTTACCCTTTTTTTTTTTCCCTCCAAGTCATTAAATACCACCTCAGTAATATTCGTGCACAGCACAGTGGGACAGATACCACAACCCATTACACTGACTTCTCTCCACCAGCGTTTAACTTATGACTGCCTTTTTACTTCTCAGATCTGCTTTCAACCCTTGCTTTGCCTAAGTTCTTGCTTTGCTCTGTCTCAGCTCTCACAAGCCACGTTAGCGGCAGCTTTCAGATATTCAAAGACATTAAAGGAAGGTACCAAAACATGATCCAGTAGTCACATTTGCCAAAAATCTCAACTTTCAGGTAACAGAAGATGCCCAGAGTAAGAAGGCAGCTGCAAACACAAGCCTAGCATGACCAGCAGCCTCGTACCAGAACGCAGAAGGAAGCTGCCAACATTCGTCCCCAGCTGCTGCATCTCCAGGCCTCCATCTCCATCGATCGCAGCATTCCAGCTTCATGCTCAACATCACCTCTCTGAGCAGCGACAACTGTGATGGCTGAAACACAGAGCAGAAGGGGAGCAAACCACCAAAGAGAGCTGAGAGTTTCCTCTGTCTCTCCCCAGCTACAACAAAAGGTTTGCAGGCAAGCAAAGCAAGCGGAATGATGCTCAGTAAGAGAGAGCAGTTTGACTGACATGGTTAAAGCAGCATATATTCCCACCTTTCAGAGGGGACTGACACAATTTGGAGATCCCCTAGAAACCCAATGGTTACGTTGGGATCCCAACCAAGAACTTTCTCTGCCTGCTGCTGGGGTTATCAAGATAAACTGGTTATGAAGCCGAGACAATACGCTAGCATAGGAATCTCAGTAGGCAGCGGCAGCAAAGTGGGAGAGGTCAGCATCGCTCCCGAAAGGAGAGGCTCACGGCTTGGCAGAGATGAAAGCCCTGCTAGGTACAAGTGGCCCTATAGCTAGAAGGTTGCCACGTGGCTCCAGTTTTCAGCTGTATGCTGGAATCCTGTATTTCATCGCTCTCTAGGGAAACCTGCTAAAACTGGAAAAGAAATAAGGCTGGAGGAGCAGAGGGCAGGGCTTGGCCCACCTGGAAGCTGCTGTTGCCATTGCAAGCCTCGTGCGGCGAGGACCCAGCTGAGGCACATGGGATGCCAGGCAGAGCTCAGGACTCGCCTCGGGAGCACTAAGGGGCAGGTGCAGCAGTGGGACCACCCCAAGGCCACTAAGGTGGGTCAGACTGATGTGTCCATCGAAGCCCAGGAACCCGTTTCCAGCACAGGATGAGGACAGAGGGGTTCGTGGCCAGGGCAAGCGAGCGGCCATCCCTCCGCACAGCATTCTCCCAGCCTCTAGCAGTTCACAGCTCGGGGATCTTCTGAGCCGGTTGTGTTTACCAGCTCTTACAAAAAACACCTTTCCCTTATGCAGACAGCTGGGTTTTCATCCCATGTAAGCTTCTAGCATCCATCATTGCCTGCAGAAAGGAGTTTCACAGTCACCTACACCCTTGGTGCACTCCATGGGTCCTAGGGTTTGGGGTTTTTTGTGGTTATTGGAAAAGAGCAAGCAGTTGTTCCCTGTTCATCTTCTCCATGCCACTAACGATTTTAACACACCATTGTATCACTTCTTTGTATCACATGGTCTCTTTTCCCAGCTTAACGAGGCCCAGACTCTAGCTGTTCCTCTCACAGAAACCACACTGTAACTGAGGATCCATTTGCCCTCCCTGAACATTTTCCAGCTTTACAGCCCTTATTCAGACGGAGGGCACTGGAAATGCAGTATTGAAGTGCATGTACAGGGAAGTAATTTTACACAGGGAGGTAATAATTTTCTTCATTTTGCTACCTAATAATTCCTTTCCTAGTAGCACCTAGCATTTATTTAACCTTTCTGAAAGATCCCAGAAAACTTCCCTCGGGTCCCGTATGTCGGGCAATGCAGAGACATCCCCACACAAGCCTGGAGATGGTCGCGTTCAGAGGCTCCTCCCTGCCCTAATTCACTGGGAAGGCCAGGGGAAAAGCAATTTTCACCTATAAGGATATTTGGTTAATGGCTATTCAACATAAAATGACAAAGTCAAAACCCCTCCAAAACAGTTAGAATAAATTAAACCCATAGGACACATAAGCAGAAGGTAACGCGGGCTGTAACAAAGATTGGGACTCCCGATACACTGACAGACTGAGCCATTACAGGAACCACTCAAGTGCAGCCTTGAAGAGCTTCCACCAGAAACTTCACGTCTGGTAAGAAAGCAAAATTATTGTGACTTTCATGGGAAAGAGCAAATTTATTATGAGATGTTGGAGGGGGATTGTGGGAGCGTGCGAGGTTTATCAAGCAATGCTGTAAAGAAGATTGTGGGAGCAAACCCTACTACGGGATGTTCAGGGCAAGGATTGAAGGAGGGGAAAGCGAGGCATCAAGCTGGATCCGGGAGAAGCGAGCATGGGAAATGGAAAGGAGAATAAACAGAAGGGGCCAGTCGCAGTGAGACTGGCTGCTGGTCAGCGTGCCTGTCTGGCTGAGCCCCGCACCTGATCACCACCATCTGTCCTGGCCTCGTATTAAACTAATCCTATCCGTTTCCTCTGCATGCCTGCGCATCTGTGACCTGCCAGCAAACTGCGAGCTGGAGTAGCCCGTCAGTAGGATGAGAGGTCTGACCGGACAGACCACAAGCCCAAGGATCAGCTCCCAGCGATCCATGAAAGCGCGCGCACACGATCCACGAGCGTGGTCCAGGTTTGACGGCCCGGGGACTAAGAACAGGATCAGCCCTTTTTTGCCATTCATGTTTTGTGAGTGCTGTTTGTTTTCCTGGGCATGCGCCCCAGCACCGTTCTTCGGCTTCTGTCCATCAGTCTGTGTCTGCTCACATCTGTGGCGTGTGTGCACATGTCTGAGGGAATTCCCGGAGAGCACTCGCCGCTTGCTGAACCTGGCAAGATGGGAAAGCAGCAGCCTCAGACCAGGACACACAGCAGACCAGGACAGAAAGGATTCCCTAGATCCTACAGTCCACTGCATTCAGCTGGCCTTAACACCAAACACTGGAATAGCGCATCAAGTTCTCGCATGAGCCCAAAGCTCGGCGAGCAAAACAAATCAAAGCAAAGCCTCACGTGAGCTGAGCTAGCAAGACAACTGCAGAAAGAAGAGTTATGCCTCAGGTCCGTTACACACCCAACTCCACACACACTGTGGTGGAACAGAAGCTGGAGAGCACACTTGGCAGAAAAGTTACTAATGAACTGGCTCTAGAAAAAGATTTATTCACTGGAGAGCAAAGCCAAAGAAGAGAATATCAACTCACACTGACAAGGGAAAGGGACCTGGGCGAAAATTGGAATAGAAACAGCCCAGACCACTGCCTGTTATGTCTCAAGGAGAAGCAACCACATCTAGGTGAACAAAAAGGCAAAATAAAAGAGGATGATTGTACAGCTGCAGGAACAGCAGCAATCCCTGCTGCAGCCTGGGAGGCCAAGAGTCTGCTGGGGACCAGCACAAGACCGCTGGCCGAGGAGCTCCAGCCCTGCCCTGAGGAAGCACTCTGCTGAGCGGCACCATAGAACACAGCCTTCATCCAGGCCGCTGGGATTTCAGCTCCCGCTGTTTCTTCAGGAACATCCACGTTGCAGAGCGTAAGGACAGACACTGGAAATGCCAGGGCATCGATGGGAGTGGAAGGGGTTTCTGTTGCAGAGGAGTAAGGGGGCACGGCAGCATTCTGTATTCCGTGTTCAAAGGAAAAGGACAAGAGTATAAAAGGAGCAAGAGTATAAAACTTTTAATGGGTCAGCGCACCAGTCCCTGATGCTGAGGGAAAGGAGCAACTGGGGCTACAGCCATCCCAGGCGCTCAGTGCTGCCGAGATGATCGGCACGGAGCAGCAAAGACAAGGTGGCGCACGCACAGCTGCAGCAGCCCCCGGCCTTTGTTCTCCAAGGAGGGGACCAACACCTGGAAAAGCAGTTCCTCTCACTGTCCGCTCGGTTTCACTCTATGCTTCTTCCTGGTAGGGGCTTGAGGACGCATCATTTTGGGATAGGGCTGGCCAGCCTTCAAGGGTCTCCTCTGCGCCTGCAACGAACGCCTCTTCTTCAAAGCAGGCTGTGGCGGCTTCTGCTCTTTGTCAGCTTTTGACCCCTCAAGTTTCTTCCTTTTTGGCTGAGGCTCCATGGTGGTATTAGGGACAGGGGACGGAGCTGCTGCTTCCACAGCAGGTTCTTCATCTGAAAGCAGAGAGAAAAGTGCTGTAAGAAGAACCCACGGCGCTTCTGCAGGGGAAGCAGCCTGTGAGAGCAGGCCCAGGCAGCTCAGCTGAGCTCCAGCGCTAGGTTACCTTTTTGTGCCTGGGGGATGGCATTAGAGAATTTCTTGAACTTGGCAATGAAGAACCCATCCATATTGTGCGTGTGGGGATAGAAACGCCGCGTAGACTTGAGGGAGGGGTGGAAGCGACGGTCCTTGAACCTGGAGGAGGAAGCGGGGTGAGAAGAGATAGAATAACCTCTGCTCAAACCTGGCCACGAAGGAAGAGTCACCTGTGCAGCTTATGACCTGGCACGCACCTGGTGAAGCCCTCCTTGCCAAAGTCCAGGCCTGTGGCCACCAAACGAACGTTGCGTTTCTTCAGGGCATAATCCACAACCCACTCGTTCTCCTCCACCTGCCGGAGACTTAAGCGTTAGGATCCAATGCTCACCAGTCCCCTGAGTAGGAGATGACCACAGCAGAGCGTGGAAGGGACTTACCATGATGGAGCAAGTGCAGTAGACGATGTAGCCCCCCGTCTCTGAGGCAGCATTAACTGAATCTATAGCGCTAAGAATCAGCTCCTTCTGCAGGTGAGCACAGTGCAGGATGTCTTTCTCGTCCTGCAAGAGAAAGACAGGTTAGGATGCCAGAGGCACAGGGAAGCACCCCAGGCCTCTATTGTGGATGGAGGAATGACAGGAGAGCAAAGCATGTATGATATAGAAGATTCTAGAGTCTTCTGCAGAACTAACCTCAAAAAACCTAGCTCTGGTACAATATGCAGAATAGGAAAAAAAAAGAAAAATCAGCATCTCTATTGTAGGCATCTCTCAAGAACAAAGCTGCCCCAAAATCCTTCCTCTCGTGACTCATGCTTGAGTACCCATCTTGTGTCTCTGCTGGTCACTCACCTTGTTGGTTTTGACAGCAGGATCCTTAGAAATGACGCCTGTTCCGCTACAAGGAGCATCAAGCAAGACACGGTCGAATCCTCCAAGCACCTACAGGCAGACGGACATTTGGAATTATGCTCACAGGTGGGGACTCAGAGCAAGACCAAGACTAGAAAGGGAACCAGAAGACTGGGAATGCGGGAAAGATCATGCACTCCTCCTTGTCCACCTTCCTGTCTCCATATCAAATAACAAACCCCTCCCCAGCAGCTCTGCTCATTGTCCTGTGACAAGTGGCTTTGGAGAACACAGCTTTGCTAAAGTGACAGCACAGCAGTTCTAGGTAAGCGTGGTATGGACGCCCCAAAGCAAGCAGGAACATACCTTGGGGAACTGGCGTCCATCGCAGTTACTCACTATAGCATTGGTGACTCCCAGCCGATGCAAGTTCCCTACCACACTACGCAGCCGCTCAGCATTGCTGTCGTTGGCCAAGATCATACCCGTGTTCTTCATAAGCTGAGCTGCCAGAGGGCAAAACACATAGCAAGGGGCTGAAAACCTCTTGTGCTTTCGCCCACGGGGATGGCCAACCCTCTCCTTTCCCCGAGTTCAGCCCCCCTCTCTTCCCCCTTCCTGCACAGACCAGCAGAAACTCGTGACTTCGCAGAGCATCCCTCCCAAGCCTCCAGTGGTACCTATGTAGCTGGTCTTGCCTCCTGGGGCACAGCACATGTCCAGGATGCGTTCGTTCTCCTGTGGAGCCAGAGCCATGACAGGGAGGAGACTGGAGGCTCCCTGCAGCATGTAGTGCCCAGCCAGGTACTCAGGGGTGGCACCTGGACGGGGAAGGCAGAACGGAAGATGACACGTGAAAGAAAGGGAGCCAAGAGTGGGTCAGCTCAGCCCTACGACAGGAAGAGCGATCTCACCCATGGGCACGGAGGAGTCATAAATAACAAGTCCCGTTTTCGACCACTTCCCCAAGGGGTCGAGATTCACGCCACGGTTGATCAGAGCCTGCAAGACAAGGAGACGGGACTAAGACACCGCCCCGTGGGACAGGCAGTGCAGAAGACAACCGCAGGTCCCTGCTCCCTGCTCACCTGCGCCAGGTCCCGTCGCCGCGTCTTGAGTGTGTTGGTGCGAATGGTCACAGGGCGAGGAACCTCATTGGCTTCCAGGAAATTTATCAGCTGGATGAAAGAAGGGACAGAGAATAGAGGGGAAAAAAAGAGAATAGAAATAAAAATGAAGACCTGGGAGGCAGACAAATCCTCACCAGTCAGCAAAGATATGGACAGGACAGGATCCTACCTCAGGGAGCGGGAAGATGTCCATGAACTTCGTGAGCAAGAAGTCACTGTAGGAATAGTAGGCAGCCATGTCCCGGCGCAACAATGCGAGGTACTCCTGTCGTGAGCGTCCTTCCTCCCGCTTCTCCCCAAAGTCCTGCAGCACCTCCATGTTGCCCTTGATGCGCTGATGAACGATGTGCAGGTCAGGTGGCTCAGCAGGTAGAAAGACCATTAAGGAATCACAGCCAGCCAAGAAACTCACACACAGGCTCTTTACAAGCGCCACTGGTCACGCAGGGCTGCTGCATCGCAACAGCACCTGCACCAGAAGGGCCTTGCTGGAACGCGCTTTCGTCAGAGCTCAGCAAAGGGGGGGATTCAAAGGATGGAACCAGATGAAAAAGTTCACAAGGCAGGAACTACAAGGCATTTAAAAGAATTTGATTAGTTACTTCAGATAAACAAAAAAAACTAGAAAACAAAACAACAACAAAAGAAGTCTTTTAATACTGAAAACATTACCCGTAGCAGAAAGGAGACCAGAAGTACCCCAAGGGCAACTATGAGGTACAGAGGAGAATGAAAAGAGGTAGGATTAAATTGTACTGGGGGGGGGACAGGAAATTAAAATCACCAAAGCCCAAGATTGGATTGGATGCTGGAATTGCTGTCCTCAGAGGCTCTACAAACTGGTTAGGCAAACACCTGCCAGGGAAATCAGGGTACAGAGGAACAAACTACAAGAGAAGATCATACAATCATAGGCTGAAAAAGATGAAACCGTCCACGCAACACCACCATTCCTACTAAACCATGTCCTGAAGTGCCACGTCTACACATTTTTTAAACCCCTCCAGGGATGGGGATTCAACCACCTCACTGGGCAGCCTGTTCCAATGCCTGACCACTCTTGCAGGAAATTTTTCCTAATACCCAATCTAAACCTCCC